AAAAAAAAAAAAAAAAAAAAAAAAAACCTACAAATGAAAGTCTAGACTAAACATGGCGATCCTAATTTTAAGATTTTCTATAATCAGGCTCAGCACCTATAGCTAAGTGGTTAGGATGCTGGCCACCCAGGCCTGCCAAACAACAATGACAACTGCAACAAAAAAATAGCTGCACATTGTAGCAGGCTCTTGTAGTCCTAGCTACTTTGGAGGCTTAGGCAAGAGAATTACTTAAGCCCAAGAGTTAAAGGTTGCTGTGAGCTGTGAAACCACAGTACTCTAATGAGGGCGACACAGTGAGACTCTGTCTCAAAAAAAAAAAAATTCTCTATAATTAGATACTTTCTAATCTTATGATTATTTAATAATTTTATAATACTATAAATTTTGTAAAAAGAAAGTCAAGAGGTACCTAACTGATATTGTAACATCAGAAGTGATCGAAAGGAAATCAAATGTATACAGAAGACCAAGGAAAGCTATTTTCTAGCTGACATTTGTTGAGTGCTGACTATAGACCAAGCACTGAACTAAGAACTTTAGTGCACTACCTCCTTTACTTCTCATAACCTTTAAGGAGGTTCTGTTAAGTCATATGGTTGATAAATATAGGAATCATAATTCAAATCCTGGTGATCTTCAATATAACCTATCTCTTGCAACTTATAAATCTCCATAATGCCACAATTTTGTAATACAATATAAATCTCCATAATGCCACAATTTTACAATACAATTTGAATACAATTATACTTTAATATATTAATTTAAAATTATATATATAATTATGTACATGTTATGCTTGGGCATGAATGCTGTTACTAAATGACACAAGCCTTGTAGCATGGTAGGCTCAGCAGTAAATAGAGATCAGCAAGTGGGGAATCCTACTGCCCTGGTAGGTACAGCCCACATCCTGAACGAAGAAAGTGAATTGCCAATATTTTAAAACCATTAACTGAACTTCTACATACAAAATGAAGCATCAGAGATAAAACAATAAATCACACGTTCTTCTTATTTATCTCCTCTATGATGAGATTTTTTTTTTTTGAGACAGAGCCTCAAGCTATCCGCCTGGGTAGAGTGCCGTGGCATCACAGCTCACAGTAACCTCCAACTCCTGGGCTCAAGTGAGTCTCCTGCCTCAGCCTCCCAAGTAGCTGGGACTACAGGCGCCCGCCACAACGCCTGACCATTTTTTGGTTGCAGCCATCATTGTTGTTTGGCGGGCAGGGCTGGGGATTCGAACCCGCCATCTTAGGTGTATGTGGCTGGCGCCTTAGCCTCTTGAGCCACAGGCGCCAAGCCTATGATGAGATTTTTAAATATTTGTAAACCCTTTTTCATAGCAAAACTACAGGTTCTTAGCGTCAATAGCCAGCTTCCCAAAAGTGCACTATCTAATGGAAGAAAAACAAAAATTTAAACGTCATCACCCTTAGTGTCCACAAGGGACTAGTTCCAGGACAACCTGCAGATACCAAAATCTCTGATATAAAATGGTATGGTATTTGCATCTAACCAATGCACATCCTTCCATATGCTTTAAATCATTTCTAGATTACTTATAATACCTAATATAATGTAAATGCTATGTAAAGCGTTGTAGCAGAATATTACTTAGAGAATAATAACATGAAAAATATCTGTACATATTTAGTACAGACATAATTTTTCTTATAAATATTTTTTATCCCAGTTGGTTGACTCCATGGATACGGAACCCACAGATACAGAGAACTAACTGTACATTAATTCTAGAGAAATCTTCATAGCAATAAAATCTCCCTAATTTAACTTTATTTCCAAAAATTTATTGAGTTAGAACAAAAAAATACAGTACAACTTTACCTGTAAGACATTGTCTCCGTCTGCATCTAAGGGAGCTTGAACTAATTTAATGTTGAACACACTATGGGAACGGCTGGACTCACGATTCAAATGGGTATTAGCAATACGTCTCTTTTTCTGGCCTGTGACAACAGAGAAATCGTTGATCAAATCTGAACTCAATCATTTCATTACACATGCTTTCTTTCTTTCTTTTTTTTTGAGACAGAGCCTCAAGCTGTCCCCCTGGGTAGAGTGCTGTGGCATCACAGTTCACAGCAACCTCCAACTCCTGGGCTCAAGCAAGTCTCCT